TAAAATATAGACCAATATCTAATGTCAAATGTTATTAAGAGCAGAGTTGAGCAAAGCCAAATAAAGTTCATTTTCTTGAGGAATATTAGGATCCGTTAAGCCATAGGTTAATTTAATTATTTTGTGCTTATTTTTTACGATCTATTTATTTGCAATGTTCATGCTGTAAATGTTAAACATAAAAAAATTATATGAACACAAAAGTGATCTTTTACAAAACAATACACTCAATGCATAAATCAATCATCGTAATAGTGTTCACCATAATTTCGACTTGAACAATGTTTTTTTAAAAAAGAATGTAATTTATTAATGTTAAAATATATTGAATGTGCTCTAATTTCTGAGTCTTTCGTGCTGAATTTACATCGCGGATCATAAAAAAATTGCCTTTTCTCAAAAACATAAGCGAATGCGATGAAAAGCCGAATGAGTAAAGCTGACTTGATACATTTAGATATACCGGATGTAATAATTTTAAATTTCAAAATCAAAATTTTTGTATCGTTAACGTTTTGATGCAAACTGCAAAGAATTTTCATAGTATTTTCTCCCCCTCTTTCATATATAAGAATGTTTTCATTAAAAAAAAAAATAAAACATTATTAGTTCGAGGAAGTTCCTTTTCGGAACGAAAAGCGTCACTAAGGAATTTATTTCATTTTATTCATTCACTTAGTTCATTTTTTCTCTCTTTCTTTTCTATCGACCAGTCTGGTACATAAATATATCTGCGTATATTTATCTGTATATATTTATTATAATTTAATGATTAGATAACGAGAATTTACTCATATGAATATAAATACGGATTTGCATAAATCTATATCAACCCAAAAGCAGATATTGACAGAAATATTAAGTTTCGCCAACCTTTTCAGTGGAAATTATTAATCTAGCAAGAGTTTCAGAATTTGACATTGTGGCTTTTACCGAATGATGAACAATCTTCCAAGTAAAATATCCATCTATATTTCACCTTTACATTCCAAATATTGCTTACGTCAAGATTTCAATTGGAATGGGCAAGGCGGTCTTAGGAATCAGCAAATCCTAACATTTTCTGAGGTCTGAACACCGACCTTTGACTCCGACGGGAAAAAACAAAAATATCTTCGCCATACAACAGTTCATGGACATAAAAATATTGTGTTGCGGTAATTTTCAAATAATGACGTATTTAAAAATATAATTAGGCAATACATTTAAAATGTTCCATTTGCGCAAACACAGTGATCCTAAATTTTCATAACTATAATCAATATATAGTTGTGTTTCATTGAAAAAAAGAAAGGACGAAACTATGCCTTTTCTATTAGCTTAGATAATCCATATTTGCATGTTTTTCTCACGTAGTTGAGAGACGCAGTTCCTAAAATTATGAGTTAAATGGTTAAAGCGTTCAACCATTACAAAAGAGGCTTCGTTTGAAGTCATTACTTTCACAATGTCAAGACAATTCTAATAAAATTAACGCCCATGAAAAATCATAAAAAATTATATATAAATATAAATTAAAGTGAGAAAATTTTATTCATTTTTAAAGGATATATAAAGTTCCCGTAAAATGAAGTGTTTTTGAAAATCACCCCCAAAATCAGAGCCGGTATTTATTAAACTATTGAATTTCTTAAAAATTCTTAAATTGCCATATTAGTAAAAACATGCATTCACTTAAATTTTCAAAAATTCAACCTTAACTGCACGCTCCACAAGTTTGCATCTGTTATCAAACATATTCAAAAAAAAAAAAAAAAAAAAGAAGATATATTTCGATTTGGATTATATATTTTCGTCTCGGATACTACATGAATTTTGCCAAAAACAAAATAGTTTCCATGCCTGATGATGATTTGTAGAATCGTTGAAAGTACTTGCGTATTTAAAAAATACCTAATACAGTTTATAATTTAAAAAAAAAAAAAAACCAAAAACAAGGATCATAACATTCATCGGGTGATTAGTGAGTTAATGCATCTTTAAAATTTTGTTAACGTATATAGATGGTCGGGTCAAAATACAATTTTAAGCATGAAACAGGCTGTTGCCGCTTGGTGTTATGCTCAATGTCCACTTTGAAACATACATACTCTCTATCCCTGATATTGAGAAATTTAACCAACGAATACATGTTATAAAATTATATTTTAACACACACACACACAAACATATATATATATATATATATATATATATATATATATATATATATATATATATATATAAAAGAACCAGACATCTCCTTTTATGCTGATTATAAAAGCTAATATTCAGAATGCTAAAGAAATTTGCAGGAAACCAGTATTTTTATCAAATTTAAATTATGCAGCAGTCGTTTTCCTGTGAGGCATTATATTATATATATATATATATATATATATATATATATAGTTAAACTTAGAGAGCCAGATAAACCTACCAAGGTTTCACCTAATCGTATCTTCAGGGAAGGCGATATATATATATATATATATATATATATATATATATGTCTATCACCTTATGCCAAGCTAAATTGCAAGGATATTCACTACAGTATGTACGAGTCTTTTCAAAGGCTAAATATTTGTCTTATATTAGGAGAGAAAATTTACTTGAGCAATTTTTCACTGAACATAAAAAAATAGGAGTGATGGACGTAGGTGTATTTTCTCTTTGTGTGGAAATGTGTGAAATGGCGAACG